GTCGTACGGCTCAAAATGCTAGTTCAATCGTTCTGAGGAAGTACTTCTAACTTGAATCAATATCTCAAATAGGGCAGCATCAGGCCTTCTGTAAGTTTCATTTACAGATAGGCTGCCCTATCCTGTCTTAGTTCCACTAGATGCATCACTTAATCTGAAGCACATTGATAGATCCAGTTTCTGCTAGCATCTTGAGTTGACTATCCTTGTGTAGCAATAGAAATTCTATTGGAAAGTTTGCATTTCATTGACAAAGAGTTAGCAGCACTGACCATTTGTACATGACGTCACTTGTGTAGTTATTTTTATCAGGAGAAAATATTAGTATTAGATAACTTATATTAGGTAATGGATAGGCTATGATCTGCAATCATAGAAGGTTACTGGATCCTGAAAATATTCTATCCAATATGTCATTGACATCATTTTCCCCTGATATCTCGCAGATAAGAAAGTTGATGGAAGATCCCGTGTTGACAGGGAGGCTGACAATCAACAGCTCCTTCAGCTAGAGGAGAAGGATGTTGTATCATCAGTGGCCACTCTTCTCTCAGATCTATGTGGCCCTGGAGAATGGATGCCAATGGAGAGACTTCATTCTGAGGTATGTTTATATCGCGATGTCCTATTTCATGCTTCTCTGGTTTTAATCTATCAGTCATGAACATATTTATTGTAGTATGATTTTTATGTTCAGTTCGTATACCAAATAAAGATATGCGTATTGTTGATGACATCTCTGGCCCCTTTTCTCAGAATATGTTCACCTCAATGCTGAGAATTTGACATCTGAACTTCCTCTAAGAAAACTTTCTTCTTGTTTCGAATTTTAATTCTGCTTCCACACCAATTTCTCTCATAATTCTTCCGTTTTGGTAATTTTGGAGTATTCAAAATTTCATATTTAGTAATAGTTGAACACGTGATCTCATATGCAGCCTTCTTGGTATGGTGACATGCTTTCTACTTTTTAAGGAACGTCCTTGATGCCTGTGTCATAGATGGTGTTTGAACACACAAAAGCATTTAATTTTTAACCTCCAGATTATTACCGTTCTCTTATGCTTCGTTTGTTTGTATAGCTGGAGGAACAATTCGGCAATGTTTGGCATCACAGTCGTGTGAGAAGATACCTCACCTCTGAGGATCATCCCGTTCCAGAAGCCAAGGGAAAACCATGGTATGGGTTGCTCATGTTGTTGAGGAAGTACCCAGAGCATTTCGTTATCAACACAAGATCCAAGGGACGGGTTACCCTGGAGTTTGTCTCTCTTGTGTCTCTACTCTCGTGAAAATTTCACACCTTCGTCAATGTAAAATATCGTTGGTTTGTTTTTCTATTGGCAAATCTCGAATCCTGTCCAAGTTTGAATACAATATATTTTATATTATTTATTCTTGATTGTTCTTTTCCCTTACCTGTTTACAATAGACATGAGCATCTTCAGAAAAATCCAATGATAGGGCATGCAACATTGAATTAAAAGGATGCTTACATGCTTTGGTCTCTGCTACATAGATTGGAGAAAATCCAGTTCAAACTACACCTATTGACGGTTTTAAATAACTAGCATCTGTACAACAAATTCAACATTGTTCTTCGTTTCTACAAGAGATGATCTTGCAATACTGCTACTCGCTTTTTCTTCATCATCGAACATTTCTGCCATTAATTTTGCCTGTTTCTCTAAGAAGAGCCCTTATGTTCGAGAAAATGAGAGAACACTCAGCCGCCGCGCCATTTCCATAGTCTCCACTGGCTAGCCTCTTTGTCAATGGTGGGACAAGGGAAATTCCAAGATAGTCAATTGTCAAGAGATGGTGTTCTGTAAAAGGGTTGCTCTAAATTGAAATATCCATGGCTGGCACTAGGGCAGTAAGCAAAAACCGCAAAAACGGAAAACCGAATCGAAATCGCATTTTAGAAATTGTCGGTCTGATGCCACGTGGACCCGGTCAACGAAATGGTTTTGACTCAAACCAAACTGGTCAAAATGGTTTGGTTTAGGTTTGAAAATTTTAATTGCGGTTTAAAATCAAATCGGACCGGCGAAAAAATATATAAAAATA